TTATGCCAATAACTCACCAATGTTTAAAGAAACCTCTTTTTTAAGATTGCTCATTTTTTCTGTTTTAAGAAATAGTTTTAAGGGCTGGGGTTGTGGCTCAGTGTTACAGCTCTTGCCTAGCAAGTGTGAGGCACTGTGTTCAATTCTCAGCACCAAATAAAAATAAATAAATGAAATAAACGTATTGTTTCCACCCAAAACTAAAAAAAAAAAAATAATAATGGTTTTAAGATAAACCAATTTTATAACTGAAAGAAAAATCATCTTTGCTTGTAGAATTCCCACCATTCAAATTTCTTTTTAGCTTAGCAAAGTGGACTTGTTCAAATAAACATATATAATTAAAATCTTTAGTTATCATTTATTACTTCAATAAGGATGGTCAGAATTGGGTTTCAGAATACAAGGGTGTATAAGTCAGGTAGCTAAAAATAATATAATTTTTACAACCTATTCCCCCCACCTGTCTTTTCCATGTTGGGGATTGAATCCAGGGCCTCACATAAGCACTGCACAAGCAGCTGTCATTGAGCTGTATACATATAAGTCTCCTTGCCTATAAGCAGCATGATAGGTTTCTACTTTACTAAAACAAAAACTAACAATAAAATCATCTCATCTAAAAGAAGCTTAAGACAAATGTCTAAAATTAAAATGTTCTCTGATCCTAATGAATGTAATTAATTTGATTTGGAATGCCCAACTGATCCTGGAAAGGAAAAGAGGTTTCCAAATAGACTTACATTCATGAAAACATCGTAAGTGTAGTTGTCAGTGTCAGCATCCCAGAAACATCGAGCAGCCATACTAAAAAAAATCAAAGAACAAAAAATTATCAACACTATAACAAGGATCTGAACTACACCTATTTGCCAAAAGCAAAAGCTTTCTTTCATACTCTTTTTTTTTTTTTAATTGTGCTGAGGATTGAACCCAGGGTCTCACACATGCTAGACATGAGCTCTACCACTAAGCTTACATCCCCAGCCCTTCACACATTGTTCTGAATCAGGGCTTCCCAACCTTTTCACAGGTTAGTGCACAAAGAAAATTGTATTTGTACAGCAAAGTATGCTGCATACCTTGAAGAGACATGATTCATAGGTGAGGCTGCTTGCAGCTATGGCTGACCAGCCCAGGGGCTTTAGCAACTGACTGCCTGACAATTGCAGGGGTTGATATCTTGAAGTCTTTGGTACTCTGGGTGGGGCTCTGCTATTGATTATATCAACTAAAATACTTGTGTGTAACTTTTAATGGTCTTAATTCCTGCACGTATGGGAGAAGGAGGTCTGTGAAGGGCCCAACAGATTAGTTAGCTCAACCTGATGATTTTATAGAGTTCCATAAAAGAAAGAGGCAAACTGAAATAGAATTCAGTCTTCCAGGGGCTGGGGATGTGGCGGTAGCGCGCTCGCCTGGCATGCGTGCAGCCCAGGTTCGATCCTCAGCACCATATACAAAGATGTTGTGTCCGCCGAAAACTAAAAAATAAAATATTAAAAATTCTCTCTCTCTTTCTTAAAAAAAAAAAAAAAAGAATTCAGTCTTCCAACTAAATCTAGTATTATCTCTACAGAATGCTATGCTTCCTCTAAATTATCAAATTGGCCATTTTATCCCCCTCCCCCAAATTCTTAGATAAGAAAAAAATGTTAGTCAAAATAAAAATCAATGGTTCACATTGGTAATCCCAGCAGCTCAGGAGGCTAAGGCAAGAGGATTGTGAGTTCAAAGCCAGCCTCAACAAAAGAGAGACGCTAAGCAACTCAGTGAGACCCTGTCTCTAAATAAAATACAAAATAGGGCTGGGGATGTGGCTCAGTGGTCAAGTGCCCCTGAGTTCAATCCCTGGAAAAAAAATGTAAACAAATGCCCATTAGGACCGGATTGGTAAATGAAATGATGGTATTTCCTGGCAATGAAATTCTGTGTAGTCGCTAAAGAGATGTTCTGCAAAAAATATTCACAATATAATGATATGTGAAAAAAGTAATTACAGATGTTTTACATTTTTATGAAATGTATGAATTTGATTCATCATCATTAACATTTACTAAGTGCTTACTTTGTGCCAGTCACTATACTCACTCATCTTAGTGCTTTCAGGCATTTGCGAGGCAGTTACTGGGGACTAACTCCCCTGTCAAGGGAAGGAATCAGAAGATCGAGCTCTATTAATAACACTGACACTAGCCAGATATATATTTTGGGGCAAATTGTGCTGAAGTGGCATCCATAAAATAAGGTCACTAGTATTTACAGTACCTTCCAGATCTAATATTCTATGGTAAAATTTCTCGGTGATAATATCTATAAGATATTTTTTATTTTGTTTTTTTAGAAAGAGAGAGAGAGAATTTTTTTAATATTTATTTTTTAGTTTTCGGCGGACATAACATCTTTGTTTGTATGTGGTGCTGAGGATTGAACCCCGACCGCACGCATGCCAGGCGAGCGTGCTACCGCTTGAGCCACATCCCTAGCCCTATAAGATATTTTTTTTTCTTTTTTTCTTTTTTTTTTTAATTTTTAATATTTATTTTTTAGTTATTGGCGGACACAACATCTTTGTTTGTATGTGGTGCTGAGGATCGAACCCGGGCCGCACGCATGGCAGGCGAGCGCGCTACCACTTGAGCCACATCCCCAGCCCCCCTATAAGATATTTTTTAAATTTTTTTTTAGTTGTAGATGGACACACAATATCTTGATTTATTTTTATGTGGTGCTGAGGATCAAACCCAGTGCCTCACACATGTGAGGCAAGCACTTTTACCACTGAGTACAACCCCGGCCCACAAGTATTTTTTAATTCATTTAATTCCAATACCTTCTTACAAAATATGTAATAATGTACTTTCTTAGAAAATCCTGCATTTGACACTATTTATAAAGGAAGATGGAGGATTAATACTTAAGCATAGGAAAATACATGCAACAGATTTTGGAATTAATAATACAGAAATGAGAGTTTGAGATCATGAAAATGCATGAGCTCGGAAAGACTGTGGAACCAACCTAGATGCCCTTCAATAGATGAATGGATAAAAAAAATGTGGCATTTATACACAATGGAGTATTACTCTGCATTAAAAAATGACAAAATCATAGAATTTACAGGGAAATGGATGGCATTAGAGCAGATTATGCTAAGTGAAGCTAGCCAATCCCTAAAAAACAAATGCCAAATGTCTTCTTTGATATAAGGAGAGTAACTAAGAACAGAGTAGGGTCGAAGAGCATGAGAAGAAGATTAACATTAAACAGGGATGAGAGGTGGGAGGGAAAGGGAGAGAGAAGGGAAATTGCATGGAAATGGAAGGAGACCCTAAGAGTTATACAAAAGTACATACAAGAGGAAGTGAGGGGAAAGGGAAAAATAATACAAGGGGGACAAATGAATGTCAGTAGAGGGGGCAGAGAGAGAAGAGAAGAGGGGAGGGGAGGGGGGATAGTAGAGGATAGGAAAGGCAGCAGAACACAACAGACACTAGTATGGCAATATGTAAATCAATGGATGTGTAACTGATGTGATTCTGCAATCTGTATATGGGGTAAAAATGGGAGCTCATAACCCACTTGAATCAAAGTGTGAAATATGATATATCAAGAACTATGTAATGTTTTGAACAACCAACAATAAAAAATTAAAAAAAAAAAAAAGAAAAAAGAAAATGCATGAGCTCACTATAAAAGCACCAAGAATATAAGGCCAAGAACTGAACCTTGGGGCTGGGGATGTGGCTCAAGCGGTAGGGCGCTCGCCTGGCATGCTTGCAGCCCGGGTTCGATCCTCAGCACCACATACAAACAAACATGTTGTGTCTGCCGAAAACTAAAAAATAAATAAATAAATATTAAAATTCTCTCTCTCTCTGTCCCTCTCTCTCTTTAAAAAAAAAAAAAAAAAAAAAGAACTGAACCTTGTAGAGAGCTCGCAACTGGGATATAAGGGAGAAAGGAGCCAGTGAAGAAAAGAAAATATGCAGTCAGAGAAACAAGTTAGATAACTGACACCAGGGCCAAAAAAAAAAATGGAGTGACTTTTAAGAAACAGAAGCCAAGAACAAGAGCTAGTAGATTGGCTAATAAGGAGATCATCTCAATTAAATATTTATGAAAGTAAAAATGTCAAAATGTTGGCAATGAGGAATATGGTAGGAAATATGTATCCATAATCCCATGTTGTATATGGAAGCATGTATACATAAACCCTAAAAGATTTACTAGCCTATAGCTACTATGAAGAATGAGTTACCCTATGGAGCTCATCTAGACTGGACCTTACTCTCTAGTTCCAGGACCTCTTTAGTTCACAGATGCATTTTGTTACACTGCCCTTTCTTCTCATTCTTGCAAACATACAATCTAACTGAATTTTCAAGAGGAAGAATACCTCATAAGAAACAGAAGAATAAAAACAAGAAGGAAAAAATCAACTACTCACAATACTCCTTCACCTCTTTGTTCTCCAATCACTACTTGTACCACCATTTTATATCGGTCAAATCCCATTTCTAAAAAGAAAAAATAAGAAAGTTATCTATAAGCAAATCTGTGGAAAATTACTTATTTAAGGCAAATTTGTCCAGAATGGACCTAAATGTTCAGTTCACAAGTACTTAATGAGTATAATGTAAAGCTTGTGAGTCAGAGGGACCTGAAGATAGATCTTAACTATAAAATTAACCAAGACCATAACCTTAGAGAACTTATGTAATTTTTCAGTTTAAGTTCCTCTCATCTGTTAAGTGGGAATAATACTACCTACCTCCAGGATACCTATAAAGTTAGGTGAGATAAGGTATAAAAATACATAAAGCATCTAGAATAGTATTAGCACATAATGGTCTCTCAATAAAGCTTAGCTTCCTTTTTTTACCCTACTCTAAGTCAGGTACTAAGCTAGGCCTTCAAGTTACAGAGATAAATAAAATACTTTACTAATAATAGTAAAGAACTTGAAGGCAGACAGAAAAATAACATGAAAATACAATATGCCATTAACTTCAGGAGTAGCAGGTATAAGGTACATAAAGAGCACGCAGCTGGGAAGAGATAACCGGAAAAGACTTCATGGGCAGTGTGATAATAAATGAGATGAGTCTTGAAGGATGAGTGAGAATTGACCAAGTCAACAATCTTTCTCCACTTTTTGAAGAGGGAATAGCTTATGCAAAGGCATGAGAAGCCAGGTTCTCTAGCAAACTGTAAGCTGTTCAGTAAGGTAGGAAAGAAAAGCAATAAGAAGATTTGGGGTATATTGGAGTAACCAGCACAACCCTCAACTTCCTGCCCCATCAACTGTACTGCTAAAGAAATAAAACCCTGAAAATTCTCACTAATGCCAAATCTGGACAGAAGAAAACTGAAGGGCACCTCTATCTTCCTACTCTTCTGAGCAGGGGATAGAAGAATTTTTTAAAAAGAAGAAGAAAGAAAGAAAAGAAAAGAAGGGAGGGAAATGGGCAACAAACAGGCCAACTCTCTTTGGTGAAAATAAAGTCTCCAGGATTATATATTAAGTTGGGCAAACAACCTGAATACAAATAACCTCCTATTTCAGAATATTAAACAAAAATCTTAGAATATAAAGCCCAAGTTTTTTGTTTGTTTTATGTTGTTTTTGTTTTTCATACTAGGAATTGAACCCAGGGGCACTCTACCTCTGAGCTACATTTCCCAGCCCTTTGAATTTTTTTATTTTGAGACAGTGTCTTCCTAAGTTGCCCAGGCTAGCCTTGAACTTTCAATCCTCCTGCCTCAGCCTCCTGAGTCTCTAGGATTACAGATACGCACCACCACTCCTGGCAGGCCAAGTTTTTCTTTAAAAATGTTGCACATTCAGATGAGCTTTCTCCTTTCTCTACTGAATTCCTTATGCTATAGAAATATGGCTAGGATATCAAATCACAGTTCTAAGAGAAAAATAAAATATTCTCATATGCTAGAAAGAGAACTTGAAAAAAAACACCCACACCATATCTGAGCAATTATGATATATAGGCAGAACAAAAAAAGAAACTGAATAGCAATATGTAATGACACAATGGTAAAAACAAAAGAATAACACACTGTGAAAGACACTGTATAAGAGGTTAAAAAATTCAACCTAGTAGATAATATAAATAAGAACGAAGAGAAATTCCTCATAATTGATTTACATAAAACAATGCAAGTTTACACATTCAATGAAATAAGAACTCAATCACATTATAAAACAATGAAAAGAGATGAAAGGGAACATAACATCCTAGGAAAGAAACAATTCTTATACAACCAATATTCAAATAATGTCTTTGTAGAACTAATAAATTCAAAGTAGCAAAAGAGCCAGGCACAGTGGGGCATGCCTGTAATCCCAGAGATTTGGGAGGTTGATGCAGGAAGACTGTAAATTCAATGCCAGCATCAGCAACTTTGCAAGGCCTTTAGCAATTTAGTAAGACTTTCTCAAAAAATACTGGTGCAATGGCACTTGCCTGTAATCCCAGCAGCCTGGAGGCTGAGACAGAAAGACCACAAGTTCAAATCCAGCCACAGCAACATAGTGAGGGCCTCAGCAACTTAGCGAGGTCTGTCTTGAAAAATAAAAAGGGCTGGGTATGTGGCTCAGTGATCAAGAACCCCTGGATTTGATCTCTAGTATCAAAAACAACAACAAGTCAAAATGGAAATAAAGACACAAATGAAAACTAAATTACTGCCTTAACATAATCACAAGTAAAGATGACAGTGAAAAAGGAAGAAATTATGCCAGAGGAATAAAGCTAATAGACATGGAAAGCAAAGATGAGTCAACATAAGAACACTTGGTATCCTGAACAAGAGAATATAAATAATGGAACATAAAATGTATTCAGAGATAAAAGAAAATTCTTCCAATATGGAAAAAATGAAATCTGCCAACTACCAACCCAGACCCTAGAGCCTAAAAACTAAGGATAGGCATCTTTAAGCAGACAACATCAAATTGGCTTCAGATTTATCCACAGACAATTAACCCTTATGTTTAATTGTCCCAGATGTGGAACACCTATAAAAACTTACAGTAGGGCTGGGGACATAGCTCAGTTGGTAGAGTGCTTGCCTCGCATGCACGAGGCCCTGGGTTCAATCCTCAGCACAACATAAAAACAAACAAACAACAGCAAAAAAAAAAAAAAAAAAAAAACTTATAGTATGTAATATACAATATAATTATATAATATATAGTATAATTAATGAGAACATAATTATGCTATAATTATAACATTAATATAATAATATATATAAGCTTCAGATTATGATTTCTAACCTACTTTAATATACCTGTGCCAATTTTGCTGAAATATTCACAGAATTGAAAACTTGGAACATAATGGGTTAACATTCATTGCCAGAAGGCAATGAAGAAAAGTACACTAGAGTCAAGAAAATAAATTATTACCCCCAAAATATTCATACAGGCTACAGAGTAACTTGGTAGAGTACTTGCCTAGCATGCTTAAGGCCCTTGGTTCAATCCCCAGCATTGCAAAATTAATAAATAAATCCGCTCTTCAGTCTCAGGCCTAAGTCATGGCAACAGGCTAAACACACTAAGAAAGTCAAAATCGTCAGTAAATATGGGACCCGCTACGGTGCCTCCCTCTGGAAAATGGTGAAGAAAACTGAAATCAACCAGCACGCCAAGTACACATGTTCCTTCTGTGGCAAAACCAAGATGAAGAGACAGGCTATGGGGATCTGGCACTGTGGTTCCTGCATGAAAACAGTGGCTGGTGGTGCCTGGACCTACAACACCACTTCTGCCGTCACAGTCAAGTCTGCAATCAGAAGGCTGAAGGAATTGAAAGACCAGTAGAAAGTTCTACCATATAGCAAAATTGTGGTTTGTTTTTAATTGTATTAACTGGATGTTCTGATGTGAATTGCATTAATATTGCCCTTTCAAAAGATTTATAAATTGAGGGCTGGGGATGTGGCTCAAGCGGTAGCGCGCTTGCCTGGCATGCATGCGGCCTGGGTTCGATCCTCAGCATCACATACAAACAAAGATGTTGTGTCCTCCGAGAACTAAAAAATAAATATTAAAATTCTCTCTCTCTCTCTCTCTCAAAAAGAAAAAAAAAAAAAGATTTGTAAATTGAAGCTCTTCTAATTTGAATTGGAAAATTTTGCTGAGATGCATTATTGTAATTCAGGTCTTTTTTCTTCAATAGTCAGATGATAATGGCATGAAACCTTATGGCTTAGGTATATACTTAACTTTTTTTTTTTCTTAAATCACTGTTCAACTACTCAGAGATACATTGACACTGTACAAAATTTGTTTCAAAGGTAAAATGTGCTAAAATATACAAAGGATATATAAACAAATAAATAAACAAACAAACAAATAAATAAATAAATCCTACAAAGCATATTCTAGTTTAAAGACAAAAGGCAGATATCTCAAACATAAAAAAGTACAAGAAATATACAGCATTTATGAGACCTTCTTGAAAAAAAAAACTGACAAAATCTCATCAGGTAAATTTGAACCAAAATAAAGAACCTGGCAATGAAAGTATGAAAAAAGGACTAAATAGTGAACAATCATTCCATATAAATATAGAATCAATACTATACGACTATGGGAAATAGATCTTCAGTATCCCTGTTACTAAAGGATCTATATGTATATACCCAGAAAAGAGGTTGCTATGATGTTTGCCTAAGTGTAGGTGGTGACACTTGGGTATTTCCCCCCTCCCACTTTCTCTCTCCCCAGATTGTGGATAAACCCAACATATGCTAAGCATATGCTCTACACCAGCCCCGCACCATGGGGTGATTTTTCTTTTATTTACTATTCTATAGTGTTTAAATTTTTATAATGAGCATATATCTTGTTTTTACTATAATTTTAACTGAATTTTCATTAAAAAGTCAGAAAACAAAAATGCTAATATATTAATAGTAGTGAATTCTGAGTGAAAGAAATATATAGGATTACTATTTTCTTCTTTGTGCTTTTCTATATATTTGGGGCAAGGAATACTGGGAATTAAACCCAGGGCCTCACACAGGCTAGGGAAGCATTCTACCACTGAAAACTGTATTACCTGCCCTTTTAATTTTTTATTTTGACATAGGATCTCACACAGTTGCGTAGGGCTGGCCTCAAACTTGTGATCCTCCTGCCTCAACCTTGCTAGCAGCTGGGATTACAGGCATGTGCCACCATACCTGGCTATATTTTTTCATTTCTAAAAGTTAAAACAAACCCAGGAAAAGAAGAAAATACACCAAAATAGTAAATGAGAATTACTTTTGGATAATAAAATTTCATGTAATTTTCTAAAACTTTAAGTATACTTTTCTGTATGGTCCAGAATTGTTATAATGAACATAAATTACTTTTACAAAGACATCCCTTCCCTCCAAAAAACAGTATCTTTTAAAAAGAGCAGATAGATATTGTGAATTGTGCTGCTATAAACATTAAGGTGGCTCTGTCCCTGTAATATGCTGTTTTTAAGTTTGTGATGGACATTATTAACTAAAGTACATGTATGAAGACACAATTGGTGTGAATATACTTTGTATACAACGGGAGATGTAAAAAATTGTGCTCTATATGTGTAATAAGAATTGTAATGCATTCCACTGTCATATATAAATAAAAAAATTAATTTAAAAAAGAGCATCTAGAAATAAAGAACTTTTTAGATGATATAGCATTAATAGTAACAGCATAATAATGTTTTTGTTAACATTATGAACAAAAGAAAGACAAAGAGGACAAGGTGGGAAAAGGACAAAATACACTCTGCAGATGTAGGTTTTGGCAGGAGTGGAAGGTTGAGTAATATAAGTGGTAAAGGATTCAGCTGAAGAAATGGACTGAGGACAGCCTGGGAGGGTACTGAATGCCAGACTAAGAAATTGATAGCTTAATGGGGAAAAAAAAAACAACAGGAATTATGGGAGAAAGTCACCCTTAATTCCTGGCCTTTTTGAATTCTTAAATTTCTAGGACAGTGGTTCCCTACAATGTTTTATTTCACATCTCTACTCTTTCCCACCATCTGCAAAAGTCACCAAATAATTATAGAAGACTAGATACTGAAGAAAAAATTGTCTTTAATAGAATCCACAGCTTATATCCCTTGTTTAAAGATGGGAAAGAAAACAAATGGGTAAAACTGAGTGCTTGAAGATAATACGTCACTTCCAGTTATTACACTCTTACCTTTTAATTTATCTTTAATATTTTCTGATAAATGTTTTGTGAGCTGAGGCATTTCTTCTGGAATATATTCAGCATTTGCCAGTTCCTCCTTGAGCACAGTGTGGATACAGTCTTTAACCACAGAGGGTCTGAACCTAAATGAAAAATTTGAGAACATCTAATAGGTAACTCCAAAATCCCAACTTGCCTTCACACTTCAACTTCCCCAGGTTGTTTTTTTCTTTTTGTCCTGCTTTCTCATATTTTTTCATTACAAAAGTAATAGAAACAAATTAATATAACAAGTCATATCCCAAATTTCTCTCTATAGCCTAGACTATCCCTGAACCTCAGATCAACAAATATTCCAATGTCTAATAAGCAATTTTTTTTTTCCGGTGATGCTGGATATTGAACCCAGGGCCTGGTGCATGCGAAGCAAGCACTCTACCAACTGAGCTATATTCCCAGCCCAGAAATTCAAATTAAATTCATTCAGTATTGAGTTTCTCCTCTCCATAGACTATGTCTCTTATGGTTTTTCCCATCTCAGTCAATCGGAACTCTATTCTTCCAGTCTTGTTGGTGAGAAAATCTTACCTATTCTACCTTCAAAATAATCTAAAATTCAATCACTCTTACCACCCCATCACCACCATCTTGTTCCAAACTACTATTTCCATTATCTTTTGCCTGGATAATTCACTCAGTAAAGGCCAGTGTCTTCACTCTAACCTATAAGGTATCACGTGATCTACCACAACAAATTTTCTGACTTTGTTTTCTAGAACTTTTTGCATACTTCTGTACTCAGGCCACACTGGCCTTCCTTATGTTCTTTTTTTTTTTTAACATTTAAAGAATTATTTAGTTGTAGATCAACACAATACATTTATTTATTTTTATGTGGTGCTGAGGATCAAACCCAGTGTCTCACATGTACTAGGCAAGTGCTCTACCACTGAGCCACAGTCCCCACCCCCTTCCCTACGTTCTTTTAACCACACCAGGCATACAAAGCTTTGTGCCTCTATAATTGCCATTATCTCTGCCCAAAGTTTAATTCCTCCCTATACAAGCATGTCTAGCTCCCATACTTCTTTTTATTTTTAGTTGTATATGTACAAAAATAACTTTATTTTATTTATATGCGGTGCTGAGAATCAAACCCAGGGCCTCACACATGCTAGGCAAGGCTCTACTACTGAGCCACAACCCCAGCCTTCCGTCACTTCCTTTTTTTTTTTTTCTCCCTCCCTTATTTCTTACAAGTCTTTATTCAAAAGTCACCCTTCCTAGCTACACTCAACAAACTTCAAAGCACCCTCTGTCCCTTCCTGGCATTTGTTACGGTTACCCTCTGATATATTATATACTTTACTTTTGTATTTCTTATTTATTGTCCTTCAATTCCACTAGACATAAGATCCATGAGAGTAGAGATTATTTGTCTGTTTTGTTCAGTTATACTCCCTTTTCCTGTAACAATGCCCAGCACATAATAGATACTAAATAAATGGGAGGGGGTTGGTTTTTGTTGTTGTTGTTTTGTTTCTTTTGTTTATTTAGGGTATGGGATTGAACTCAGGGACACTAGACCACAGAGCCACATCCCCAGCCCTATTTTGTATTTTATTTAGAGACAGGGTCTCACTGAGTTGCTTAGCATTTCACTTTTGCTGAGGCTGGCTTTGAACTCAAGATCCTCCTGCCATAGTCTTCTGAGCCACTGGGATTACAGGCCTGCACACTGTGCCCTGCTGATTTTGTTTGTTTGTTTTGTTTGGTACTGGAGATTTGAACCCAGAGGTGCTCTACCACTGAGCTATATCCCCTCCCCTTTTTAAATTTTTTATTTTTAGACAGGGTCTTAATTAAGTTGCTGAGGCTGGCATTGAACTTGTGATTCTAAAGTTTGTCTCAGATTCCCAAATCACTGGGATTACAGTCATGTACCACCACACCTGGCTTAAATGGATAGTTTTTGGAAAAAAAAAAAAAGATTATTGGATAAATGAAGACAGGGAAAAGAAAAAAAGAAAAAAGGCCTCCTTTAATTTCACCAGCCTAATAATACTATTAGCAAGTTGCTTGAGTTTATTATATATTAAAACACTAGGTCCTTTTTAGAACTGTATATTCCATCAGTTTATCTATCAAGTGCCAAGTTATCAAAATGTTTAAAGTTTTCAGCTTATTATAAGGTTTAATATTCAGTAGCACTAGTGTCCCCTCATTACTTTTTAATATATTTCCTTTGCTTTCTTGCCTTCTCATTTGCACAGAATCATCATCAAATTTCCAAGATTTGGGGGCTAGAAGTGTTGCTCAGAGGTAGAATGCCTGCTAAGCATGAAGGAGGACAGGGCTTCAGTCCCCAGTGAACATGTGTACACACACACAAGATTTGCTCTGTCCAAAATGTGGTTGTCTTCTTAACAAACACACTGTATTTGGCTCCTCCCTTCAGCTTTTTTTTTTTTTTTTTTTTTTTTTGTGGTGCTGGGGATTAAACCCAGGGCCTTGTGCATGCACTCTACCAACTGAGCTATATCCCCAGCAGGCTTTTTTAATTCTTGATAAAATGTTAAGGTTTTCTTCAGACAAGTCACACATAAACTCATAGGATTATTCCTACATAATACATATTTTTTATTAATCCTGTTCTGCACTGTTTTACAACCAACAGAAACCCCTCTTAATGCCATTCTATGCATGTAGAATACTAGAATAACTGAAAACACTGTCCATTTTACCCAATAAAAAATTACTACATAAATTTTGGAAAAAAAAATTTAGTTGTCAATGGACATTTATTTTATTTATTTATATGTGGTGCTGAGAATAGAATCCAGTGCCTCACACGTGCTGGGCAAGCACTCTACCACTGAGGTACAAACCCAGCCCCTACATGAATTTTTTTCAATCACATGTAACCAAAGTTCCTGGTTTCCAACACTACATTCGCTAAGAATGAAATTTGGCAATATGGTTTCCAACAACAGAAAAAGGGCTTGCGAAATTGTTTAAAAATATGTTTCTCGTGAAGAGGATAGAGATTAGTGATTAGCCATGGATCCTGCAGACTTAGCTGACTGCCCTCTTCCGGCAAGCTAATACTGTCTAAGAGCATCTGGACAGTACATAGGAAGGACTTTGTACACCGATCGGGTGCCAGGAGTAAGTGCATTCTGGCACAGGTGTGCACACGGGAACCCTCAAAACACCAATAAACCGCGTTCCTCGTAAGCCGCTGGTGTTTTGCCTCTCTTGGTCCATCTCCTTTTCCCTTGCGTGTGTCCTGGATCCCCTAGGTGTCAACCATTCCGGCTGCGCCAGCCTAACTGTTTGCAGGAGACCTAACTCTGCAAAGGTGGAGCCAGTCCTCTGCTGTCCCCTGCAGCCAGAGAAGAGTTGGAACGCCAGAACAGCAGCGTCCCCGCGACCCACAGCTCCTTCCCGCCCCTCCGGTCCTCTCCGGCCCCCACCCTGCCCCTCCCTTCCCAACCCTGTGGGCCCGGGTCTCGGCCCCCGCGCCCCTTTCCGGCCGTTAGGCTCCCAGACGACCTCTGCTTGGCGGACCCAGCCCTCTCGAGGTCGCCCCTGCCACAGCCCATCCGCTACCCGCCTTTGCTGGAAAATGGGCCTCAGAATGTAGGTGTTCTCCGCCTCCCCTGAGTTCTTCTCAGTGTCAAGCAATCCGTCGCCCACGGGCCGAGAAAGGGACGGGTGGGCGGATGTGGTCATGATAAGGGATTCTCGGCCCGGGCGTAAGTCACTACCAGGCCCAGATCGCTTGCTGCTGCCGCGTGGGGCCGAGGGACGGTCGCCAGGACTACAGGGTTGCTCCACGTCCCCACGTGACCAGGCCGCTAGCTCCAGCCCAGCGGCTGGTCCTTCACTGCGCCTGCGCACCCGCTGCAGCCAGGAACTGGCGGAGCGTCTCTGTCCGGCGCTTTAACGTGCCCAGTCGTTTACCAACAAAGACACAATCTTAGGAAATACACAAGGAACCTGACGTTCATAGAGGTTAGGAATCATAACCAAGGATACTCAGCTAGGAGAGCAGCCAGGCTCTGATTAGAATCAAGAGTCGCCAGGAGCTGGGCGCTGAGGCAGGAGGATGGCGAGTTCAAAACCAGCCTCAGCGACTTAAAGAGACCTTGTCTCAAAATGAAAAATAAAAAGGGCTGGAGATGTGGCTCGTTAAGCACCCCTGGGTTCAATCCCTGGTGCAAAAAAAAAAAAAAAGTCTTCAAACCGCAGTCTTTGGACAAAACCCATCCTTCCTCCCATCCTTCCTTCTGTTTTTGTTCTTATGAGCTAACAACAGGAATTATATATGTAGAGATTTTTAATCATATATGTAGAGAGTCATGAAAAATATAGGGATTTAAAACGTCAGTACCCATAAAGTTTTATTGGAATGCGTTTACATCTTGTCTATTGCTACTTTTGTCCCATAAAGGCAGAATTGAGTAGTGCATCAAAGACCATATTGCCTTCAAAACCTAAAATATTATCTTGCCCCTTATAGAAAAAGTGCAAAGCACCACTCGAAACCATAATCACCAGCCTGCAGTTCTTAGCCAGCTTGCATTTCTTACCTACGTTACTGCAAAAGTCAGAAAAGAGCAGATTTTAGGATGTATTTCTTACCATTTTTTTTTCATTCTTTGCTTTTAAGCACCAGTTTTTATTCCTGTTTTAGAATGCTGTAGGTCTTGGCCTCTGCCCATTATCAATCCAGACTTCCTTTGGTAACCTTTAACCTTGACAATGTTAACAAGTTCCAAAACTTGCTTCTATACAATGCAAAAAGGGTAGGGCCAAATAAAACTGTCTTTGCAAATTCCAGTACAGACAACTAATTTTACTATTCCAGGATTTGGTTTACAAAGTGCCTTATTGAAATTGTTGCTTAGATTGGTCTCCCTGATTCCAATAACTCTCACCAACTTCACCTTCCCATTCCACCCTTTACACTATCTCAGAGTGTCACTGCTTGGCTTGAAATTGTTTGATGGCTTTTAATGGCTATCTCCCGTGCATATATACTTCTTTGCTTGGGCATAAGACCCTTCATGATCTGACTGGTTTATTGAGCCTTCCTTCTGCTGACCAATGTCAACACTGCTCTAATCCATGATTGTAGTTCCCCAGGAAGCTTGCTGTGCCTCATCCATTGCCGGGAGCAATGGACTAAGCTAATTATTACTAAAACAAAGTGTCATTTTCTATAACTACACTACATTAATGCCATCTAATCTTCAGACTCACTGAAGGATCTCCAGTTGTCCCAGTTGTTTCTGTAGAATTCAGTTCATGAGCATGTGTTACATGGAGTTGTCTTATTTTTTTATTCTTTGAACCACATCACTGGGCATTATGTCTATGAGAAATGCCCTTTGATCTCCAAATACCTGAGTCCAGACAGAGAGCTGAGAACACCTATTCCAAAGATGAGTCTACTTTCTCTGAGCAAGAATATGAACAAGGAAACATCCTCTCCATTCCAGGATGATATTCATAAAGGCATATGCAAGGTAAGAGACAGATTTTCATCTTAAAATGTTTACTTAGTGCCTGATGAATAGATCTGTATCAGCCCCTCTACCTAACACCCTGGTTAGACATCAAGCCAGGATGTAGCTCTGTTTGTGAAAGAGGGGAAAAAAAGATGCTGCAGTCATATTCGAATGATGAGGTGGTCCTGGGTTGTGTATACAAGGAAGGGGATGCAGACCTTCTGGAATCCCACAGAGGACAGCCAACAGCCAGGTGTGAAGGGGCAGTTGGCCCATGGTAGAATGAAGGCAGAACTCCTCTCATTTCTTCATTTCCTCTCCAAGGCTCCTCTCCCCCACCCCCACCCCCACCCCATTCCAGGGCCCTGAATTGAACTGTGAAAAGAGAACGTAAGTGAACTATCAGGGCCACACAGTGGGATTGCACTTCAGAATTGCAGAAGTAGGTGTTGGAGTTGTAGCTCAGTGGTAGAGTACTTGCCTAGCGTGAGAGACACTGGATTTGATCCTCAGCACTGAGGATTTGATCCTCAGCACCACATAAAAATAAATAAATAAAATAAAGGTATTGTGTCCATCTACAACTGAAAAAAAGAAAAAAAAAAGAATCACAGAAGTATCCATTAGCTCCACCTCCTCCAAATTCCCATCTTTGATCTTGATCTCAGAAGCTCTGGGAGTGTCAGCACCCAGATGTAGGAAGATCCACCCTGCATATGCACAACTGAAGAAGAGGATGATTGGCTCAGCCAAGGCAGAGGTTGAAGACATTGTCCTTTGAAGCTCTATCAGGTTGTACAAATAACATCAGTCTGAAGTTCCTGAAAGGATGCAGGCAAGAAGGAATCAACCATCCACTGTGAATTGTGTTGATGTTAAGGTCTCTCACCTTGGGGCCCTGCTGAGCCACCCAAGTAGGGCTAAGACAGGATGGGAATTATGAATCTGATGTGGCTGTGAGGATGCATGCATCTCTGTGTGTGTGCTTAATATGTCTAAAATTCAATATATATATATATATATATATTTTTTTTTTTTTTTGCAGTACTGAGAATTGAACCCAGGACTTTGTACATACTAAGCACATACTCTACCACCATCACCAGCCCTTAATCATCTTTAAAATCTCCATTAATTGGGGCTGGGGTTGTGGCTCAGCAGTAAAGTGCTTGCCTAGGACGTGTGAGGCCCTGGGTTCAATCCTCAGCACCAAATATAAATAAATAAAATAAAGGTATTTTTTTAAAAATCTCCATTAATTGTATGAAGGTATTAGTACACAATGGATCAGGCACATTCCAGCCACAACCCTGAAACTAAATCAGCCAACAGAGAAATGTGAGACTAACACAGCAGGACTCCTTGGATGTCATATGGGATATGATGTGGTGTCTGGTTTTCAGGACTCTCTGCCTGCTCAAGAGCAGTGCCTCCTTTTGTCCTTGACAATTCTGTCTGTCCATCTGTACCATCCAAGGCAGGCCTCCCGTCCCCACCCAGAGAGGAGAGGGTAAAAGGGTGTTTTGAGGGATCTGACTCCTACAAGCTCTGCTAGTTTGACTGTTGCATAACAGGACCATGCTCCTGAGCCCTGGGAACAGAGGAACCACTGAGTTCTGGAGGCCTCTGGTGCTTCCATCTCTCTTCATTGACCTGGGACAATGTGGGAATGGAGCAGGATCAATCCTAAAGTGGGAGAGCAGGAGGTCCTGTGACTTCTAGTTTCTCATAAAAGCAACTATGATCTCACAGTTCTCACCACACCAGCCTTGGTCTCCCCTGCCTGCCTCTGAGCAAGTCATTCCCTCTGCTGAGGCAACCCTCCCTCCCCTTTTTACTGGGCCAACTTGAAAGAATCATCTCAGATTCAACCAAGGCCTTCCTTGATCTCTCCCTGAAGTTCCTACCCATCTCTCTTGCATCCTGAGTTGAACTCTGATGTAGTCTTTGCCATATAATGTTCAAATTATTGATAAACTTGTTTCCCTAACCTGATCATGAGCTCTTCAGGAGCAGGGCAGGGTCCAAGGGCAAGGACCATACCTTGGTCACCTTTAGATCAGATTTGTACCATGTGTGGCAGTGCCAAGCACATAGTGGGTACTCAATATATACTCTCTGTAGAACTCTACTCAACACTATAATGAAAAGGAGTCTGCTAGTGCCGCCATAACCTCAGCACCATAGAGTGGGTGGCTTAAATGACAGAAATGTCTCTTCTGAAAGTTCTGAAGCCTAGAAGTTTCAAGATCTAGATGATAGCAGATTTGATTTCTATGAAGGCCTCTCTCTCTGGATTGCAGATGAATGCCTTCTTGCTGTCCTATATGGCTTTTTTCTCTTTTTTATTTTTTATTTTTTTAGTTATACATGGACACAATATCTTTATTTTGTTTATTTATTTTTATGTGGTACTAAGGATCAAGCCCAGTGCCTCACATGTGTGAGGCAAGCACTCTGCCACTGAGCCACAACCCCAGCCCCTCATATGGCCTTTTTCTTTGTGTTCACACAAAGAGAGAGAGAAAGAGATCTCTTCCTCTTATAAGGACACCAGTCCTCTTGGAACAGGGTCCCACTTTTTTGGGGGGTGAGTACTGGGGCTTGACTCAGGGGCACTCAACCACTGAGCCAGTCCCCAGCCCTATTTTTGTATTTTATTTGGAGACAGGATCTCACTGAGTTGCTTAGTGCCTCACTTTTTGCTGAGGTTGGCTTTGAACTCAAGATTCTCCTGCCTCAGCCTCCTGAGCCAAGCAGCTGGGATTACAGGTGGGTGCCACCACTCCCTGCTAGAGTTCTACTTTTATGATCATTTAACCTTAATTATCATGTCAAAAGCCCATCTCCAATGTAGTCACTTTGGGGATAAAGACTTCAACTTAGGAATTTGGGGGAAATAATTCAGTCAATAACAACTGATGAACTTGAGTTTAGAAAATAAAAGGTCAGGTGCTGACTGCACCTTAACCTAACTTGTGTGCTTTTGGGTAAATAAGTTTGTTATTCTCTGGGAGCCTTGACTACTCTATCTGCAACATGTGGCCAAATTTTATGGGGTTGTTGAGAGGCTGAAATTATATCATGCTGGAGGCATTTTATGGTCAATATAACATCACAACATATACATTATGTGTTTCTATCCAACAGTAATGACTTAATTATTCCTTCCTTTACGGTATCATCTTAAAGTATACTATGGGATTTTAAATGCATTATATCATTCTTCCTATATGCAAGGATTATTGTTGATATCATTATTACAGGAATACTTAAAAAGGAAGTTTGTTTATAATTCATACCTACTACTCTCAGAAAAGAGTCAGGGCAGCTTATGATAAAATCACCAGTGCATGAAAGAGTGTTACCTGTCACTTCTCACACAGGCTGCAAAACAGGCCAAGGAAGCTGTTGATGAAATGAATGACCACCAGGAGAAGCTGGAAGAGGCTGATGCACAGAAGTGTGGAGAAGAAGGACACGTGCCAAACGACAGCTTTAGAGGGCTCCCGACAGACAGAGTTCCAGAGAGAATGGTCATATAAATAATTCCTACCCAAAAAATAAAAATAAAGGGGTCAGGAGTAGGGGAATAAGTATATCCAAAAAAGCAATCACAATAGAAATCTGAGGCCTTGCCTGGCTCAGGTCACAGAACTGGATTTGCTAAGGTGACTTTTACTACTGCACTTAAATTTCTGAGTATCAGAGTAAGGAGATGCTAGAATGTGTGAACAAAATGAGGTTTTGTTTGTTTGTTTACCAGGGATTGAACCGAGGGGTACTTAGTCACTGAGCCACATTCGCAGCCCTTTTTTATATTTTATTTAAAGACAAGGTCTTGCTGAGTTGCTTAGGGCCCCGCTAAATTTCTGAGGCTAGCTTTTAACTTGTGATCCTCCTGCCTCAGCCTCTCAAGCTGCTGTGATTACAGGCATGCACCACTATGCCCAGTCAAAACTGAATTTGTAACTATAGTCCATTCCATCTCTGTGTTATTCTCCCTCCCTCCCTCTCTCCCACCCCCCCACCTCTATCTATCTATCTATCTATCTATCTCTCAGAAAAGACTTCAAATCCACAACTCTATTTACCTGTTATGCATGTCTTTGAATGGGTAGCCATATTTCCAAGCTTGTGTCTGATTGAAGAATGAGACGTCAAACATGCAAAAAGGACCATCTTTCAGGGCTACTCCAGAAGTGATAAAGCAAATCAAGGCTCCAAGCAAAGCCAGGCCACTTGAAAACAGAGCAGTGAGCAACTGTAGAGGGAGGGAGCAAATAGAGTTGACACAGCAGCATGGCTAGGTGGTTTTAGGGGTGAACTGGACAAGTCTAACTTATCTGGTGTTTGGTCTTTCTCCCATCCTATCACAGGGGGATAATTCTACCCATGACACTTCCTTTAGAAGCATGACCAAGATGAGGTGGATGGTGAGGGGTCCCTGGGTAGAGCCAGGAAGAGAGAGGGGAGAAAGGCCCAAAAAAGAAAAACATAGTCACTTGGATTTGGGTCTCCCTGACTCCACTGGCTATTTGGAGCCTTTCGTATTGGCATAAAAACCTTTGTACACAGAACTGGGTATGGAGGCACCTGCCTAAAATCCCAGCTACTCAGGAGGCTGAGGGCAGGAGAATTGAAAGTTTCAGGTTAGCCTCAGCAAATTAGTGAGACCCTGTCTCAAAATTTAAAAATAAAAAGGCTGAGGATGTAGCTCAGTGATAGAGAGCCCCTGGATTCAGTTCTCAGTACTGAACATTTTGTACACAGACTATAGTCATTTGGCCTCTGGGTTAAAGGGGCAGACTGGTCATTGCATGCCCACTTCTTGTAACAGTGGTCTACTTTATGCTTTGAATAAAACAGTGGTCCACTTTATGCTGATCTGCCACTGCAACTTATTTTTAAAGCAAACATGTTTTTTTCTCTTCCTCTCTCACTTCTTCTCCCTAATCTCTCTCCCTTTCTCATCTCAGGGGAAACAGGATTATATTTCTTCCCCATCCTAGACAGAGATATCTGTCCTTGAGTCCTCACCTATCATAGGAATATAAGTAATCCAGACTTTGGGAATGTCATCAGCAGATCTCAGAAATGACTACCTCCCAAATTAACAAGTGAATTACAACTCCAACAGAGAACATGTAGAATGTGGTCTTCGAATCACCTCTTCAAAAGCCATCCCCCCCACAATTCCTGCTGATGGGCAGAATCACAGCCTCTGGACAGGAGTTCCCTGTGTTTCTCCTGTGCTAAAAGAGCAATAAGACTTCTTTTTCCTTTTTCTCAAAACCATGTCCTTATTATTGGATTGGCATCAGAGACAAGGACTGAGCTTTCCGTAACAGTACTTACAAACTCAGGATGAATTAGTCTGATGTAAACAGTGGGCAAGTTTTCTCAAAGTGTGGTCTCTGAATTTGTTTGCAATCAAAATCTGGGGATGGGGGTTCAGTAGTCTGTGTTTTAACAGGCCCAGCAGAAGGTTTTTCTTTCTTTTTTTTTTTTCCCCAGTGCTGGGGATGGAAGCAAGGGCCTCCTGCATGCCAGGCAAGCACTCTACCACTGAGCTACATCCCCAGGTCCCCAGCAGAGAATTTTGATGTAAATTCAAGGTTAAGAACTACTTGCCTATTGCAAAGCCAGATATGACTGAGAACATGATGAATAAAATGCCTAGGTCTTTATATTTATTTCTTTAACATATAACTGAATCAGTGGGATCCCAATATGTAGACTGCAGGTATCAAGAGCAGGGTGCAAGATTATAGGCCTCTGTATTAGAACCTAGTGATTTGATAATCTCTGGACAACCTTCCAGTTCTAAGAAAATAACACATAGTTAGATGAGATGTACACCTACCACTGTAGCACTCAAGTGTTCTACCACTAAGCTACATCCCCATCCCTCTAAGAAAATATTAATTAAGATAGCCAGGAAACTTTCTGTCAAAGACACATGATTACAATGTATAGAACTCATGTCCATATTGTTCAATAAGCTAAAGAAAATTACAGTTTCTCACATTGCTACCTACATTTGTGGTTCATTAAGCACTTACGACTCAATTTTACAGATGAGGACCTGGGGCTGGAAGGGTCAGACAACTGTACCCAAGAGCTTAGAATTATGAAGGACCTGATTTAAAGCTTCAAGACTGAAATTGCCCCTTGACTACTCTGCTTCCAGAGTAAGAGAATGTGGGAACATTCCAGGTATCAGAAGAATGAAATCCAGTGCTTACACTTAGACAGGGTACACTTTTACTGAAACAGCAATATCTCCATCCCATCACAGAGATGAGTGTAGCTGCAGTGAGTACCTGGAGAGAGGAAAAGAATGTTAAGAAGAGACTGGGTAATTTACATCTCTGCTTCGAGCTGCTGCCTACAGCCATTGAAATTGACCATACAATTGAGGGCTGGCCACTTCACAACAACTCAATTGTCCTATTGGCTGATTGTCCAGACCCAGTTTGGGATGACTGTCCTGATCTTATGTTATGTGAATACTAATGTTCACAACAGCTTGCCCGGATCCAAGCTAAAATCCAGCAACCCTTAACAAGTCCTCGCATCCCTTGTAGTGTCTATGGGCCCTGAGACCAGCTTTTTGAAACAAGTTTGTTGTACTTTTTTTTCCCAAGAATCAAAACATTCCTCCCCCTCTAAGATAGAGACCACACATAGGGAAAAAGGGCTAACAAACACCTGGGCCTTAACTCATGGCCTGACAGCCATTAAAAGATAGTACAAGTTTTTCCCTCTGCTCTCCCACATTTATCCCCCACCAAAAAACAAAACAACAACAACAAAACAATCTTATCAGCTTCAGAGACCAAGTACATCATTAGGGCCAGGAAGCTCTTGCCATGACTCCCCAAGGACAAACGACATAAAGGATAAAAACTGTTGTGAAGCCACCAGAACAAATTCCCAGGGCCCTTAACTTGTAACTGGCCATGATTTGTGTTCTCTTCTATTTTCCACCAATGTGTTCTCTGAACAGCTATTTCAGTTCATCCTTATCACAAGACAGAATGGGATACAGAATGTGGCATCCTCAGAATCATAGTGCCCACATAGGAAAATAAAAATGCACCTTTGAAATGTACTTAAAGACAATGAAGTTTCCTAAACCTTCTCTCCCCCCTTGCAAACAGCCCTTTCACCTGAATAAAACTCTTTCCCTTTGTTCTGAGGCCAGCCTGACACTCTACTGTAGGGGCTGTCTCCCTTCTCTTAAGAGAAGCCCTAATTGGAAAAAAGAGAGAGAGAGAGAGAGAAGCCCTAATAAAAGCTTTGAATATATGTTATCTCACTGACTTGTGTTCCTGTGTTTGTCATCACCACCACCTTCCAGTTCCACCCCTGGGGGATGTTTAGGGAATTCACACTCAGGGAACCGCACACACTTACCATGAGACCTCCTCCCCAAAGCCCAGAGCCCAGCATGGCATGCCTGCCAATGAGACCCCTCAGCAGATAGGTCACATCCCAATTAGGAAAGAGGAGTGCCACATTGGCCCCAGCAGCAAACAGGGCTGCAGTCCCCAGGCTCAGCCCCAGGATGCGGGAACAGGTTCTCGAGCATGCCATCGTGCAGGAAGGGGACAGCATCCTGAAACTGATGGAAAGAGAATCACAATGGAGCACAAGTTAGAGGAACCCTCAGAGAATGTAGTGAGGCGAAGAAAATAGAGTGCCAGGGTCAGTCAAGGAGAGATGAGAAATTTCCTTAAACACTCTCTCCTTTATAATTCTTTCCTAATGAATAGGATTTAATTGCTCCATTTTCTGCCAACTCCTACTTACACACAGACACACATTCCACGTTCCATCATATTTTTTCTACTTGGTAAAGAAAAATGCATTTTTAAAAGTGTCACCATACCTTGTCTTAGTACTTTTTTTTTTTTTTTTTTGTACTGGGGATTGAACCCAGAGGCATTTTACCACTAGGCCACATCCCCAGCCTTTTTAAAATTTTTTATTATATTTATAATCCTTCTTAGACTCCCAAGTTGCTAGGATTACAGGCATGTGCCACCACACCCAGCTTGTCTTAGCACTTTTGTTCAATATTGTAGAAGAAATCCAATCTAGTACAATAAGAAAATAATAGAAGCAAAATCTGTACCAATAGGATGGGGCCGGGTTTGTAGCTCAGTGGTAGAGTGCTCGCCTACCATACATGAGGCATTGGGTTCAATCCTCAGCACCACATAAATGTAAAATAAAGATATTGTGTCCTATTTTAAAACTAAAAAATAAATATTTAAAAAATATTCACCAATAGGAAAGAAAGAAATAGCATTGCCATTATTCACAAATAATATGATCACACATACAGAAAAATCCCAAGCAAGCTACCAAAAACTAGTTCCTAGAACCAATGGGGAATTTATCAAGGTCATAAAATAAAAGATTAATATTCTATTGTATTTCTATACACAAGCAAGGACATATTGAAATTTAAAAAGTTATAATAACAATAGCATTAAACATAAGTACTTTATAAGTTTAACAAAATATCTGCAAGATACATATACTCAGAATTGCCAAGAAAAATTAAGGAATACCTAAATAAATGGAGGAATATACCATGTTCATGGATTCAAAGACTCAATATCATTGACAAGTTAATTTTCACTAAATTGATGCTTAGATTCAAACAGGCAAAATCCTAGTAGAATTTTGTTATGGAAATTGACAAGCTATAACTGGGTTTGTAGCTCAGTGGTTGAGTGCTTGCCTCACATGTGTGAGGCACTGGATTTGAACCTCAGCACCACATAAAATAAATAAATACATAAAACAAAGATATTTTTAAAAAATAACAAAAGAAATCGACAAGCTAAACCCAAATTAGATAACAATACAAAGGACTTAGGTTAACTGATACAATTTTTAAAAAGAACAAATTTGGAGAACTCATACAATGTGATTTCAAGACTTAGCATGTGATTTCAAGACTTAACATGGCATGGCCAATTATGGCTTAGCAAAGCCAGTTAATACTATTACTAGCCTGTGACAGTGGCTTCCCCTAGAGCTTGTAGACAAGGGTATTATAGGATCAGAAATTAACATTGTAATGAAGAATGATAAGAAATTGTTGTTATGTTCTTAGATTTGATGACTTTGTCAATATGGTGCTGGAAAATATCACTGAGTTTGAAATTACACCAGAAGGAAGAAGGATAACTAAACCAGATCAGATTTTGCTAAATGTAACAATGCTCATTCCTGGAGGAAAAGGACCTGAAGTAACAAACACATTTTCTTGACTTATGCTAGATTTTATTTTGTTTTAGAATGGCAACAAAACAGAATTTAAAATTTTTTTAAATCTTTTAAATTTTAGTTTCTCTAAAGCTAAGTTTCCCATTAAAGGGATATAATTTTTAAATTATATATACCACTTTTTAAATTAAATCATGATTGCCTTGGGAAAAGAAAAAGGAGTGTTTGTTTGTTTGGTATTGGGGACTGACCCAAGGGTGCTTTGCCACTGAGCTACATCACAAGCTTTTTTTATTTTTTATTTTAGGACAGGGTCTCACTAAGTTGCTTAGGACCTCACTAAATTGCTGAGGCTGGCCTCCAATTTGCAATACTTCTGCCTCAGCTTGCCAAGCCACTGGGATAATAGGTGTGCATCACTACATCTGGGAGGAGTTCATTTTTTGAAAACCAAAAACTTAAGGTGGTTTTTGTTAACTGTTAGGAAAAAAAAAGACTTATTATAAAGCTAAAATAATTAAAATAGTAAATTCATGACATAAAGAAAGGTATATAGATTACTGGGACAGACTAAAGAGTTCAGAACTAGACCTCCACGGTATTATAAATGATTTTTTGAAAGGATGATAAAACAGTGGGAAAAGGATAGTCTCTTCAACAAATGGTGCTGGATCAATACATAAACAAACAAACAAAAAAATCCTGTATCTAAGATATTTAGATAAGGGATGTGGCTCAGTGGTTAAGCGTCCCTGGGTTCAATCCTGGGTACCTTCCTCTCATCTCTTCCCCCCACCCCACCCCACCCCACCCCCCCAAAAAAAGGAAGAAAGAAAGAAAGGAAAGGAAAAGCTGGGTGTGGTGGCAGGTTCCTGTAGTCCCAGCTACTTGGGAAACTGAAGCAGGAGATTGCTTGAACCCAGAGTTTGAGGCCCCCATCTCAAACACACACACACAGAACTACTATGCAACCACTGGAATTGTTACAATTAAAAAGTTTGGCTCCACAAGTGTCAGTGAGGGAGTGAAGAACTAGAATTCTCATACATTGCTGATAAAAATGCAAATATATCACTTTGGAAAATAGCTTGACAGTTTCTTATAAAGTTAAACGCTTACTTATCGAATAAGCCAGTAATTCTACTTCTTCATGTTTACCCAAGAGAGGATGTGAGGGTGATCTGGCTGCTACATCTATCACCCCATTCACTGCCAGGGTTGATTCTGCTGATTCTGGCTGGCTGGGCGGTGTCCCCTTCCTCCCTCACCACTCCGTGTGCATCCTTCTCGAAGAACCATTCTTTGGTCAAAGGTATATGAGTAGCTGCACTCCCCTGCTACAGACTCCAAACAAGCTCTCAAGAGAAATGAAAGAACATGTCCATATAAACAACAGTACTTGAATGTCCACATCAGCTTTATGCATAGTAACTAAAAATCAAAAATATGCAAACAACCCACATGTCCATCAACAGATGGACAAATGGAGAAACAAGATGTGGTACATTCATACTATGGAATATCATTCATTCAGGAAAAGAAAGTTCTGTATCCATGCTGCAACATGTATGGAACTTGAAAACATGCTGAATGAAATAAGCCTACAAGAAACATAATGTATGACTCTACATATATATGAAATATCCAGAATTATCAAATTCATAAAGACAAAAGTAGATTAGAGGTAACTAGGGTCTGGGGAGAAGGAGTGTGAATTATTTTTTAATAGTTAGAATTTAGCAGTTTATTGTTGGGTTAAAAAAAGTCTTGGAAATAGCTAATAATGATGTTGAACAACATTGCAAAGGTAATTAAATTGTGTCACTTAAAATGACAAATTTTAATGTTATATATTTTACCATGATAAAAAAAATCACTTTAAAATAGCCCAAATATGCATCAATAGATGAATAGAAAAATTTTGTTGTATCCATACAGTGGAGTGCTAGTACTAGGTGATAAGAATGAATAAACTATTGCTACACAGGAGCATCATGTTAAGTGAAAAGAACCAGAGACAAAAGACTACTCATGATATGACTCTATTTATGTGAAATTCTAACAATGGCAAAACTAGTAACAGAAAGCAGATCAGGGGTTGCCTGGAGCCAAGAGGATTAATATAGGAGTGTAAAGAAACTTTTTTCCCACCAATTTTGGGGATTGAACCCAGGGTGCTCTATCCTGAGCCACATTCCTAGCCCTTAGTGTGATAGGGTCTCATTAAGTTGCTGAGACTGGCCTCAAACTTGTAATCTTCCTGCCTCAGCCTCTGGAGTATGGGGATTACAGCCATGCACCACTATACCTGGAGAAAATACATATATTTAGGATATAGATTTAGAGGCTTGCTCTTCTCTCTCTCTCTCTCTCTCTCTCTCTCTCTCTCTATATATATATATATATATATATATATATATATATACACACACACACACATATATATATATATATACACACACACACACACACACACACATATATATATATATATATATAGGTATATAGATATAGAGATATATAGATCTCTCTCTCTCTCTCTCTCTCTCTCTATATATATATATATATATATATATATATATATGCACACACATCTTTATATATATATTTTTTTCTAATTACATAGGATTAAACATAATGTATAAAATATATTTGTACTTGTAGCTTGAATGGGGGTAATTAAACAACAAGACTGGGACCACCACAGGAACAGAAGATTAATATATTTGATACCTTAGCTGGAAAAACACTGAAACCTTAACCCTCTGATCTTTCATTCCTTATTAATTAGGATTTTTTTTTAATCTTTTCTTCTTCTCTCCTATATTCTTCAATAACTTTAGCACAGGGACCAAGATGACCATGAGACCAGGGTTCACCATAAAACCGAGAATATTGGTATATAGCATTTCCAAGAAAAAAAAACAAATAACTACTGATCCATATCTTCCACAAGGAAGAAATTCCTTGAAAAAATGTCACACTCAGGACCAGTGAGAAACACCATATCCTGATAAAAAGCTAGCCCCTTCTTTTGTTCAAGGAATAGTTTTGTCCCCTCTCAATCAGTGCTGACGCCCCAGTTAAAGCCTTGCCTGTATATGCTTACAGCACTCAGCTTGGTCTTGTTGCTATCCTTTCCACACAGAAAGCTCCCATCTCTTGTAGCAACACTGATGTAAATATAACCAATTCACGCCCCCTTCTGTACTAGGATTTGAATCCACGGGCTGCCATGGGGCTATATCCCCAATCTTTTTTATTTTTATTTTAAGTTGCCCAGGCTGGCCTCAAACTAGCAAACCTCCTGTCTCAGTCTCCTGAATTGCAGGGATTACAGGTGAGCCCCACCACACCTGGCTAAATATAACCAA